ATGTTAGACTTGCTGTGCCAAACATCAAAGATTTATATTAAAAATGAATATACAATCTTGTAGAGAATTAAATTGTCTATCGTTTGGTATAGTAAAGAATTTTTTTTCTGAAACAATTTGTAAATTCATCGTTCTAGAATTAATCGTTTTAGAACTTGTGGGACACCCTTTATATGACGAATGTTTTCGGCAGAGGTAAAACCGATCTGAAAATTGCCAGACGAATACCACCGTCGGTCTATTCTCAAGAAAAAAGGTATTATGCAGATCCTCTAAAGGATCTGAACAAGCTTCGGATCTTTCAAAGAATTTATAAAAAAAAGCAGATCTGCATAAATCTTTAATCCGTTCTCATTCAACGACAAATACACTTTGTCACAAGAGATCTATCTGTACAGCCAAAATCAAAACCTTTTTCAATAATATTTCATATTATCAAAACAACATTGCTAAATGCAATATTGCCAAAGCTAAATTTTTCAGATACATGCCTATCTGTTTTCTTTTATTACAAACATTTTGTTACGATCTAAAAAAATGTTTGATCAATCGATCTTAAAAGAAATTAGCATATAGTAGCAGTAATCCAGCTTTTCAATCCAACAATCTTTTCACATTTGTTTGATTCAGATAATTCAATTTTTTTTCTCATTTAGAACATTGAGATGACGTCGTCTGCTCGAGTTTTTGATGTTTCAAACAACAGTCAGCACCATTAACAAGATACAGGAACAATTGTTGAAAAAAATTGATTATCCATTTCAAATTCTTATATCATTTAGAAGAGATATTCTGGATTAATAGAGTATAATCTTAACAGAATATCACTACGGTTACACTACGCAGATAATCATGATTATCTTTAATCTACGCAGAAAAGATAATTGCGAGTAAAGATTTTCTAGTGTAACCGCAATTTTTTGGATCATGATTAAACGATATTTAATTACGATGAACAGAATTGTGTGTAACCGATTTAATTGTCATAACTCGTGATAGTCATAACTATAAATACTTAGTGCGCAGGAGAGAACTCAGTTTTGTGTTGGCAAAGTTAAAATGAATACAGTAATACTTTTTAATCTGATCAATAGATTTGCTGACACCGGCTGCTAATAAATCTTCTTGTGTTTTTTTCCGAGCGTCACGATTCCGATGCTTAACCATTTCATTCGATATCTTTTCATCTTTTAACAAATTTAGCAGCAAGTTTGTTTCTTCCTCAGACCACCACGATCTTTTTCACCTTTGTTTTATTCTCGTAACTCTGCTTAGTAATTTTTAATAGAAATTTTTTTATTAAAAAGATCATTATTAAAAATATTATCATTATAAAATTATTATTACTTAATTATTTATTAATCTGTAAAAGAGTATGGTAATGCCAGAAAAATTCTTCAGTAGGCAAAACAACGTTCAACTGATTAGTTATTGCAGTTGTGCAAAATGCAGGCGCCGCCACCATGGTCCTTTTTTCGATAGAGGCGGTTAAAGTTACTCACGATTAAAGAAATCATCTTCCAAACATGAATATCTTTACTCACAATTTTCCAAATAATCGTGAGTAAAGTACCGGTTACACTACTAGTTTATTCACGATTAAAAATAATTGTGATTATTTGCATAGTGTATATCTTGATATTTCGAAGCAGTATAGACTGATCGTTGTAGGCGAAACAAAAAGAAAAAAAACGATATGCCAGTGGGGAGAATCGAACTCCCATTGTTCGGACCACAACCGAACGTTCTACCACTAAACTACACCGGCGAATATCTCTAACTTGAATAAAATATCGGATTCTGCGTTTCGCCAAAAAAAATGAACTGACGTATATTATATTACTGTAAACGTGGTGATTTAAAATTAGTCTGTACTGCTTCAAAATATCAAGATATACTCCTATTTTATTTATGCTATACTCCAGAATTCATTAAAAGTTTTAAAAATTGATGCAAAGTACGTGCGTTTTTGAACAGATTTTCTGGAAATCTTCCTATAAATGAGAATATTTTTCACAAATCATAAGGATAGAACTACGTTGAACAGACAAAATAAACTGCCAAGTATAATTAATCATTCAATCAAAAGATGTTATCGTGTTAAAAATGATGATTTAACACTTTTTACCGCTATAGTAATTGTAGTAGTACTAATTTTATTTTAGCACGCTGCTCAGGCTCTAAATCAGTATGCTACATTCATGCATGAAACAGAAAGATTTACGGAATTTTGTTTTGAATAGCCATAAACAGTGCTGGGCAAATCAGTCAAAAATAGTTTAAATCAAAATCAAGTCAGGGAACATTTTGTTTTGAATCTCCTGAGTAGGGATTAGTGGTAACGGTCAAAGATCTTTTTACCGAAGTTTACCGCGGTAAAAATTTGAAAAATCAGTAATGGTAAAACGTTTGTAACGTTTTTACTGTTACTGCTCATCCCTACTCCTGAGTGAACTTCTAATTTTGACTATCTCTTAAATTATTCCAAGAGTGCATTTTCCCAATTTTTTAATACGAATAAAGGATATTAAACATAGTTAATTCAGATATTGTTTTTGCGAAGAGATACTAGTGAATATAGTATTCAATGTTGATGAGCTATGAAAATAAACAAAAGAAAAATGGAAAGAGATGCTGGTCTGTGACTTGACTCAACTGACTTAGAGAATGTTTTCTCCAGCTTGACTTGAGATTTAAATAAGCACTGACTTACCTAGCTCTGGCAATAAACCGATTTCAATTGCGGCTGGAGAAAATAATGAATTATTCAAATTGCTGAAAGACGCATCTATAGAGGTCATGGCGTTTCTACATCTATTTCCGGATAGTAATGGTGCTCATAGAGACGTAAATCTTAGAAATATGCCTAATAAATATTGTTTCTTCCGGCGCGCACACACATTATGGCGATAACTAAATAATGACCCCTCTGTCTGTTTTCTCTATTTTACTACTAATATTTTTCTTCATACATTGTTGAGTGATGTTATTATGTTTTCTTTCAAACTTGGTTGATAACAGAGACCCCTAGTACTTATTGTGCTTTTTCTTTGTTTTGAATAAATTGCTTAAATTAGCTGAAGTTAGCGTTGATTATTTTGTATCATATATGGACTCGTTCTTATAAATGAAAATGGTCACATTTCGTTATTGAAGCAGTTATAGAACGAAATACGAAAAAAAGACATAATATTAAAAAAGCATTAACAATAATAATAATAATACATATACACACAAACATATTCAACAATTGAAGAACAACAAAGAACACATCGTCGGCATATTACACGCATGCGGACAAATTCTATAAAAATAGCGAGAAGAAGAAGCACGAGATTGCTTGACATGAGCACTCGAACAAAAAATATTATTAGCGCTATATATACCGAAGTGAAGAAAACCAACAACTGAACAGTATAGTGGTTTAGTGTGCTGCACGCGTTTCTATCTCAACTAGCACCAGTTGTGAAAACAGAATGTGTATAAAATAAAAGATATATATATATAAAGAAGACTGTTTCCAATGTTTTTCTGAATGTAACGAAGACGAAAAAATAGAATATAGAAGTATTGCAAATATAAATAAGATTGGCATATGAGAAGTAGAAAAAAAAAACATCGAGATTACATAGGTGCGAAAAAAAACGACAAGTGTAAAGTCAAGAAGTGAACATTTGTACAATGAACTGACGGAATGATGAATAAATGATCTGAATAACAAGCAAAAGCATGTAAAACAAAGAAAGCGAGCATAAAAAACTTCATCGGAATATTTATTATCAAACAGATAATTTCACTTGTTCAAAAAGTCTCTTGTATGTTCGTGGAGTATACGGTGGAGTCACTAAAGCAAACAAAAGAAAAACAGAATAAATAAATGTACTAGTTCTACGATAAACTTTAACAAGGTTTAATAAGCATCATACGAACACATTACAATCATGTGTGTGACACAAGCACAAAGATACATTGAAGAAAACAATAACATCGGATAGACATATATGCCCATCCGATGTTTTTAACCCCTGACACTTATTGACAGAAAGATCTCTTGAATGCATGAATAAAGTAGATGATTCTTCTAGCTAGTGACTATTCTCGCACCCACAACTAATTTACGACAATTATCTGAATTGCTACTACTATCCATTTCAAAACAGAATAGACTCTTCGAAATTTCGAATAACGCCTTATAGAAATGAGCTACAGAGTTGCGATTTTCTCCATCTCACAACCACGATTGGGGCAAAGTACATGAAAAGTCAAGTCCAAACTTCATTCATCTATCATCGATATGAAAAGAATGTATGTCTAACTCCTGATTGATCTACACCTGAAATCCTTCTGGGTATGGGTATGTTTTTCTTCTTTCTTCAAATCTATCATCGTGTTGGGGAGGTTCCTGTTTTCCCAAGAGCCATAAGTCGGGATTTTATACATGTAATAAATCTGAAACCGAATGGAAACACAGATTATCATCTACACTGATTCTAATAAAAATGTTTGTTTCCCGAATAAATAAAAAAACCCAGTAATAATCCACCTAAAGTGGAAGAATCTCGCTTTAGCTATTCTCATGGAATATCCAAAAAATCTCCTTAGAATCGATCTTCACTACTTTAGATTATCAAGATAAATTATTTTTTCTGTGCAATATCTTGAGATGCAACAAAACTTTTCAAAGTCAATGGGAAGGATTGTGGTTTTGAAAAGGTATAAACCGATGTGAAGAAAACCAACAACTGAACAGTATAGTGATTTAGTGTAGCGCACGCGTTTTTACCTCAACTAGCACCAGTTGTGGAGCACAACAATTCAAATCGAACAAAACAAGTGAATACATAGAAACGCATTTATCACATACAAGCAAAACATCAAAGCAACGGATAACAAGCGAGATAAATTCATTTTTCAAACGAACTTCACTCTTCTTACCCTAATAGTTTAAAGACCTAGAAAACAATGTATATATATTTTCTGTATAATTTAAGTTCAACAATTCACTTACCCGTTGTTGAATTTTGTTTTTTCGGATCAATCGGTGTTGTTGGGCTATTATTATTATTGCTTGTTGTTAATAATCTTGCACGTTCTTTTACTGATAAACGTTTATACTGTTCATTATTTATATCAGACGATTCGTTTTTACTTGACTCATCTAGTACTGCAGAGCTTTGCGATGATGTTGGTAATGACGGTGAGACAATAGGCGGAGCTAAACAAGAAAGCAAAAATAGGATAAAATGCTATAAGAAATGAATAAATATATCATTTACCTTTCTTTTCTGATTGAATATGTCTTAAACGAACCGGTGGAACATCGGTATCTAAAGGCAATACACGAGGAACACCAGGTGGAAGTCTTGGTCGAATGAGAGTAGAAGGGCGAGGAGATAATGGTTCTGAAATGAGATGAAACTGAATGAGCAATCTACTTGCTTTCAAACTGAAAAATAAGGTGATTTCGGAGTATTCTCTCATATATTGTAATTCTTCCTTCACTGAAATGTATTCAGTAATATTGTTATAAATTATATTACTAATTTACCTGATGATGAATTTTCATCGATTAATGATAAACCCCCATGAGCTGAACGTATCATTTGTTCATTATCGTTATCTGTGGACACTGCTCGTGTTATATCATTATTAATAAGAGATGTTGACATTAATGTTGAACTTGTCGAGTTAGGTGCTTTTGTTAACGATGCATTGCCTATATTTGTCAGAGCGGAACCCACTGGTAATAATAATACATTGTCATTATTATCCTTTTTGTTTGCAGATCCAGTTAAAATGATGGATGATCGAAGTTGAACTTGTGGTGATAGTTGAGGCTGTTTTAATTCATCTAATTTATCACGTGGTGCGTTTGTTTTGAGTGCGGATCTTAATTTCGGAGCAACTCTTTTTAAAATAAATGAGAAAAATTTATCAATAAAAAGCGAAAAAGGAGAAAACAAAAGACGTGCTAAAGCATTTTTAGTCGAATTCAGTCATGCATTAAGCTCTTAATAGTTATTTCCATAATTAATTATTTTTATCCGTTAGATTTTTAAAAAAAATTACTGTTAAAAATTTCTTTTTCAGTAAACATCTATGTAATCAACTAGAATAAAATTGACTTTTTGACTGGAAAGAAAACGAAAAAGAATAAATATTTACTTTGGTTGATCTGTAATAATCGATGCCTCTAAAGATGAAGGCGGTGGTTCAGTTTGCTGTACAACCAAATTGGCTGATTCGCTTATCATAATCTCGTCATCATCAGTTATTAAGCCATCAGATGAGCTTTCATTGCTTCCGATGGCGCCATTCACTGAACGTTTTATTGGTCGGCGAACATTTTGTCGGCGAGGACGATCTTTTGCTAATAAACAAAGAAACAAGAAATTCTTAAAATTTATAGAAAGTGATTATCGTACTTGTATGTTCTAATTTTTGCGCTGATTCAATTTCAACATCTAAATTTGTTACGGATGTTGTTGGAATTGAAACGGGAGCTCGTTTAAGAAGAATGCCGTCTTTTTTCGGTAATGCTGGTGGTGGTTCACATCGTTTTTTACGTGTTGCAGGACTTTTTAAAATTGCTTCTTTTTCCTGTTCTTTGGCAACTAGATCCAACAGATCATGTTCAATAATACCACCTTCGTCAAGAATGCCACTAGGTGATTGTGCACTTTGTTTTGTTCGATAATTAATTACGTTTCCATAAATGGGATCAGTCGTGAGAGGCGTTCCCTCTATTTGTTCATCATTGTTCACAACTATCGATTTTTTTAATACATTCAATTTTGGTGATGATGATACATTGGTATTGGAATATGAACGTTGATCGCCACTACCTAAATCCCCTGCACTATTTGTATCATATTGTGGATGTGTGACCGTACGTTTAGATTTTGTTGTGTCTAGAAACGAACGAAATTTTTATATCGAAACAGCATTCGCATTTTTAGCTAAGTACCTAATGACTCAACAGAATCAGCTTTTTTCAACCGATAAGAAGCAGAATGATCAAAAGCAACACAATTAGAAGCATCTCCCATTCGTCGAAACATAGCATTACGTGACAGCAAGCGATCAATAGCTAAGAAAAGCAAAATGCAAACACAATAGAAGCACACACGAAAACCAAACCTATTCTACCTAAATGATTTGAATGATTTTGATTGTTGTTGTTATTGTCAGTAATATTTTGTCTTCCTTGAAATGTTGCAGCTTCCTAGTGTGAAAACAGTGATTAAGACAAAATATAGAAATAGCTAGGATTTTCTTATGTTCGTAGTTATATAAGATTATGAAAGATTGATATCAGTCGCGCATACTGACATGGTATATCATATCAGGATGCGCGATTGATATCAAAGTTGCATGACAAAGAAAAAACGAAAGCAGTGAAATCGTAAGATATTTCTCTCTATCTGACCCTGTAACTGCTTACCATGTCGCGATGCATATCCATAGCTTGCTTATTTGTAGTATCAAAAGCCCGTTTCTGTACACATGTTGCCACACTAATGTAACATTCACTAGAGAAAAACAAATAGCAAAGTTACCTGAATGAAAGTTTAATCATTCACACAAGAACATCTGTTAAACGGATTTGCTCTGATTGAGTGTAGGTAAATCATTTTTTTGAGTGTTTTATTATAAGCTACCGAATGTATCTTCTCAAAGAGATATAAATTTGCCCTAATTTACTTTGTAAAACAGTATCAAAGACGACATTCAAAGTGAGCGGAACTTTTTGGTAATATATATTAATTAAGAAGTATCTCTTTTGAGACGTAATCCTTCAGAATTAAGATGAGAGAGAACTTATTCTTTGAAAACTTTCGCCGCGTTCACCTAGCGTCTTCAGACAAATTTATTTGATGCTAAAAATAAAAAATATATATCATAATCTTTTTACTTTGATTCATCACTTCATCGATTTTTACTGTTCATTCTTTCCACTAATCCTTCACTCTTTTGTACACTACTGTCTTGGAAGAGGTTGCATTCAAATTCCAATGCTTGAATTTTCAGCACTCTCGACTGAACACCTTGTTTCAAGATACTCTCTTGATGTTATTATATTCTTCATTCTTTCCCGTTTATCTGGAATATATTTGTTAACAATCATGAGATATGAATCTTTTTCATGTTGTTACCTTTCATATGTCTTGGAAAATATAGACCAATCGTTTTATGTTTTTTAAGTATTATTCGCCACTTCAAGTTCATATTTTTTTACTAATTTCATTAATTTCTACTAATTACAAATGACTCATTGTCCAGGTAACGCAAAACACGATTTTAAGCCTCAAATACAATCTCATTCGATTTAGTGGTGTACAAAAGCGTGAAGGGTTAGTAGAAACATTGAACAGTAAAAATCGAGTAATAACTCAAAGTAAAAAGATTATATCTATTTTTTTATTCTTAGCATCAAATAAATTTGTCTGAAAGTGCTAGGTGAACCCAACGAAAGTTCTGAAAAAAAACAACTGCCTCTATGCTATCATCTTAATTTAGTTATAAATACAGCTATATATAAGCTACATTTATAATTAAATTCATTCAAATAGCGTTCGTTGTCCTTGACAACTTATAATGTTGTTGTTAATTCTGATAAATATAAGTACTAAAAAGAACGACAACTGAATATGATCAAAATTTAATCACTCGAACTTCTTATTTGAAATAAAAAAACTGACTCATCTTACCGTAAACATGTTGATAATTTATCGATTACTTCTGTTTTTAGTAAATGTTCAGTTGTTTCATTTGAATTTTGAAAATAAGTACGAATTTGTTCTTGAAATTTCTTCACAAAGCATAAACATATCATTGAGTATTAGAAGCTAATTATATGTCTTCATTGATTACTTACATCATCATAATTGAACGACGATTGATCTTTAAATATTTGATAGAATTTTTTCGATAAACGCTCATTATGTTCTTTTACTAATTTTTGTAATGACAGACACATTTTTTCACATTCATTTTGCAGTTTTTTTTCCTCCTCACTATAGCACTCAAATAATTGAGATGGTATCTAAAATGGAAAGAAGAAAGTTAGGTGCCATAAGCTCGTTTTCAAATCCACTTAATATATAAGAAAATTAAACAGATTTTATCGTTACTACTTATATACAACAAAACTTATTTCTTCGCAATCTCAGTCGTTCTTGCTGTCAGTAGAGATATAAAAACTGAAATAGTCATAAAAATTATGCAGAACTTCTCCTACTTTAGCTATTCTTGTCATTTTTGCTATAGTTGCACGTAAATCGTTCGCAGATGTGCCATATGAATTTGCATATTCCATTGATGCAAAATCACCGCATAATTGTTGTTGATTTTCCCAACAAGTCTATATTGAAAAAAGTACAAAATGGTTCGTAAACATTTTAGAAAGAAGTAATAGTACCTGTGCTTCTCTACTTGTACCAGCTAATGCCGCAATCTCTAAAGCATCAGAAGAATATTGTGTCGAATTTTGATTACGTATACAGAACGAGTCGAGCTAAAACAAAAAAGAAGAGATCGAAATGATTATTCATATAGGAAGTTATTATCTAAGCGAAAATAGTAAATACGTGTATCCGATTAGAATTGAAAAAGAAGAGATGACTGAGATATGCAGAATTTAAAAATGTATTGCTTCGGATCTCATAGCTACTATTGTTCTCTTTTAACTAACACCATAAACCATATTCTTGGATTAGCAGATGAGAGAACAGATTGCAAATGTAATTCTGAACTTTGGATTAGAGATGTGTCTTTACGCTACAACGTAGGGTAGGGTGAGGACTCCGAAGTCACAAGGGGGAGGGTCAGGGCTCTAATGTCATCTGAAGTCACATGGTAGGGGAGGGCTTTGTTTGAAAAATCTGGATGAATTATATCGCAGCTATTCAAAAAATGTTCGAAGGGTAGGGCCAGGGATCCAGAAATAGCTATCCTACCTATCTCTACTTTGGATGAGATATACTGTGTGGAGTTATACACTGATTCCAAATATGACATTTTTACATCGTTGCTGACTTAAAGTCTGTTCTTCTTCTATAATCGATAAACACTCACCTTCAGTCTTGTCAAAGTTTTAGCAGACACATCGAGAAAATTCGTACGATATACAGTTTTATACAGAAACTGTTTAGTATGAATCTGATATAGTTGGACTTAGTTTTTTGACTTATCGTCTTTGGGAAAAATGTATTTTATTGAACATATGGCTTTTTCTATGTGTGTTGTGTTTGAAGAAACTTTAAGATATTTATCATTTTTCGAAGACTGAATGGTATATAGACCGAAAGACCATTGTTTATCGTCTATAGAAGAAAACAGCCTTGAACTGACCAACAATGTAATGGTGGCATCTACAAATAGCATATTTGAAATCAGTGTATAACTCTATGAGACACAGTATATGTCATCCAAAGTTCAGAGTTACACTTGGTTAAGTTCTCTCGTAAGTAGAATTGTCTTTCAATTCCATCGAAACAAAATCTGAAAAGTCGTACCTCATGCATTCTGCTAACAGAGATAAGAAATTCATTCTATACAACTCTCACTATCTTGATCAAATTCGCTTACTTTAGTCATAAGTGACGATATTCTATTATCTTTTTCATTGATTTTCATCGCTATAATATCGTTGACAGGTATAGGCAGATAACGAATTGCATAATTTCTAAAAGAATAAAACGGTGAAGCTGACAAATTTTTTAGAATTGTAGTTTTTCTTACCCTTCCATTGCGTTTACTATCTCCTCGAAGCCATTCAGTGAAATAGAATTTCGATCAAAATATACTGTGTGCAAATGGCGATTTTGTTGTAAAACATGACTGAGTATTCGTGCGCCATGATCAAGCATTTGATTACCACTAGAACAAGCAATAAATTAAAGCTCAATTAATACTAATGAAACTCTATAGTTTACCGAATATCAAGCAGTTTCAGTGGGGGACTATTCATAAGCACAGAAAGTAAATCACCGGTGTTTGCTTCGCGTAGTTTTGACTCAGGAATGTGAAATGCCTCCAAATTCTAAGTAAAAGAAGCAAAAAAAATATTGATTTTAAATGCAACAGTTTATAAAAACATACACTTTCGGCCAGTAATTCTTTCATGGCATGAATTGTTTTGGGGAAGTTTCTACAAAAAAATTTATTATTTTTATAGAAAAATCAACAATTGAAAACGTTATGTACTTTGATTTTATTGAATTGAAATTTCTTCCAATATTTAATGACTTTAATTTACGATTTTTCTTTAATTCAAATAGAAAATGTGGTAGCTCATTGTCCAAATCTGAAATAATAGTCTCGATTAAAAAATCAAATCAATGACGATAAGTAACATACACTGAAAAACGATTAATAAAATACAGTAGATATCTAACAAAAAAGGAGATATCTCTTTCCGCACAAGTATATCATATAGATATCCAATTTCTGCTCTGTCCTTTGCTTCTCTTTTTCTTCCTCATCCCTTTGCATCACGTGTGTGACAATATTTGAACACGCATATTTTGTGCGAGAAGAGATATCTCCTTTTTTGGCAGATACCTAATAAGAGATGAAAAGAAAATATCTATCATTCCCATAAGTTGAATGATCTATGATTTTAGTTCTAACATTTTTATATAAAAGTTTCTCACATTCTAATATAAATTTATTAAGTTTTATTTTTAGAAGTGACTAATTTGTTCATCATCCTATTATGCAACATATATTCAAATTTGATTTATATTGTTTTTATATTCTTCTGTCGGATAAAATAAAATAAAACTTGAGCCTCACATGATAGAATATACTTTTTCTCAAAGAAAGAAAAACATACCACAATTTGTTAAATCAAGTGATACTAAACTTGGAATGCTCGCAAATCTGGCTGCATAATCACGTATAAACACTTCTAAATTATTTCCATTTAAACGTAAATCAAGTTTTTCCAAATTAATATTGGAATGTAAACCGTCACAAATTTCTCTAGAAAAAAAAGCAAAACGATGTATATATTTTTTTTGAATTAAAAGAAAAATAATAAAATACCGAAGAAAGTCATTAGAGAGATCCGTATTGATCAATTGTACAAGTTGTAAAGATGTTTTTTGAAAAAACGTTTTTACGAATCCATTTGAAGATGTGGATGTTACTGGCGTTGATTTGGCCATAGAATTAATTATGGAAAAACGACGAAGTTTTGACGTGTCAACTACTGACAGTGCATGAACTAACTAGAGAAAAAAAAATGATACATAGAAACACTCTGTGAACAACAATATTTAAACGATGTCAATTGATTTTTAATTGGTTAAGTAAATAATTCCTTTAAACTTTTCCGAATCAACAGAGTATAAAAATGAAATTTTTTCTACAGTGTAAGAAAAATTTCACTTACACTTTCTACATTAAACTCGTTATCACCCAATTGTAATTCTTCAATATTATTCTCATTAGAAAATAAAACTGTAATATCCTTAAACAAATATATAAAATATTACGGTTAATTCTAGAAGAAAAAAACATCTTTTCGAAATATTTACCGTTTCTTCTTTGAGTTTATTTCCGGAAAAGTTCACCGATGTTAATGTACGCGATAATAACGGATTATTTGATAATGCTGTATTAAACAGATGAACACTCTTATGAGTTAGATTACATGACGTGAAATTTAATGTTATTAAAGGAATTTTTCGTTGTTGTAATTTTTCACTTAACTGAATAAGACCTAGAGAAAGAAAAAACATGAATTGAACATCTGATATACATAACAAAAATAAGTAATTTACTTTTGTCGTCAATTGAATTATGCGAAAGATCAAAATGTTCAAATTTACTTTGGGGAAAAAATTGAGCTAATTTAGAGATGAAATCACTATGAAAACAGAAATTGGAACATGAATAATTAATAAACTATATATAGTTAGTTGTTTACTTTCGAAGACCACAATTTATCAAACGTAATTCTTTTATGGATTCTGATAAACGGAGAACTGTAACAAGTTCATTAATTGAATCAGAACTCTAAATGTTAAATATATAATAATCCATTCTTTTTATGATCATTGATGTACACTTACTAACTTAATGTTTTCAATTGTTAATTTTTTAAACCAATTGTTGTATGTTAAAGCACTGATGATTGGTCTCCACTCTCTAAAAATAAAATTTGAATTAACTTTATATATTTTTTTTGTTTATACAATAATTCACTTTTGTGGTATCTGTTCGAATTCTTTCGATGTAAATTCTCTCGATGATCTTTGTGTAAATATTGTGTCGACAATCTATACAATATATATAATACTGTTTTTTTGAAGATTTTATAGAATGTAAAAACTGACATCAATTACTGCTTGTTCTGGATGTATTCCAAAATGATCACACGAACAGATATACATCAACGAGTAACCACCACATGGTCGAAAGTCGTCAGCGTTTGAAGTTAAAAAAAATTCATTTGCTTGACGAATTAATTCTTTACGTTCTAAATCAGGATAAATTTCTAAACTGAAAATCAACAAAACGTTATTTGTGATTAGAAATGGTATAAAAGCTGTTTATGTATTTTCATACTTGATCAGTACACCTGATATCAAATTAGAATAGATAAAACGATAAGAACGAATTAACGTGATTAAAAATGATTGCAAATTTGATTTGTCGTTATAAGAATATAAAAAGTTTTTTTTATCATCATCTGTCTCGATTGTAACCTAGAACAAAAAGAATATAGGAATTGTTAACAAAATTCTCTTGCAAAAGTGTAAACTTTTAATCAATAGAATATGGACACGATTTTAACAGTTTTTGTTTTTTCTATAAAATTCGATCTGACAGAAGTAAGTAATATGTCTGAGATTATAGGTCGTAGTTCGTACTACAAAGCAAGAAACATTTTCACATTGTTGAATGCGTGTAATTTATAAATAAAATGGTAAACTAACATGTGAATCAGATATTCGATCGATTCTTCTTATTGCCAAAATGTTGAAACTAAATTCAGTCTAAATGAAATAGATACCAAGGCATGAATAAATTAAGATAACAAACGCTTTTGCTTTTGACGTACTTTGACAGGTAGTTTAATCGAGAGAATATAAACACGTACAGCATCCATGCACAGGAGACGATCTTCTACTTTTTCGGCTTTAATTCCATGACGAATTCTACCATTGAATATGAACGACTGGCATTTACAAGCATTTTTTGCACTTGCTTCAGAAGGAAAAAAACATTCATATAGAAAGAAGCAAATCTCACACTGTACAGTCTACATACCCACTAATTCACTGAAGTCATCTCGTTCGGTCATCTAGAACGAAAGGAGAACATTCTTGGCCACTAAACAACAATTTTTAGTCATCAGAAGAAGCGAGCAGCATGCAACCACAATTGAAAAACTCCATTGTAAAACTCTACGAGAATTTTAATGTAATTACTATTCAACTACAGACGATCAGTTTTGAAATTATTCCTGCAAGAGTGCACACACACGCATTAGCCTATTGTAAATCATAACGTGAATGGAACGTGGTTAAAGTAGAGTCTGAATAGAAAAATAAGTATTTACATTCCATTGCACAATTTAGATTATGATAGTGCTCATACTAGAGAACAAAAACTAGTTGATTTATATTGTCATAATAAAGAGAGAACAGCATTCAGATGTGAAAAACTTAGCAATGATAGCGTGCATAAGATAAATAGAAAATATCATAGCCGAGCGTTTGATACATTACTGCTTCGCGACAGGCATGATTACACCACATTTCGTTTTATGCGGTGCATTTTTGCTGTACAAACTCTATCTGCAAAATAAACTTGTACCTGTTATTAGTATTATAAGACTAAGACTAAGACTAAGACTGTTTTATTCACGCAAAGTGTGAGTCATCAAAGCTCACCGACCTGTAATAACAATGACTCAAGCCAAGCAACATCAAAAGAGTAAAAAAAGAACAAAATAAACAAGACAACTAACGTTAGGACCAGAAGTAGTAAAAAGGAAAAAAAAGAAAGTAAAAAAGTTTTTTTTTTAAAAGAAAATAAGAAAAAAAGAACAAATATAAATTCATAACTGACATGTTTCACTTGAAGAGATGCTGAAGTAAAGCTGTTTTGAAAGACGTTAAAGAAGAAAGACAAATAACTGACGCTGGGAGATTATTTCAATCAACAATAGTTGAATAAAAAAAAGAAGCATGTACCGTTTGCGGAGAAAAACCATTAACAGAAGATGGAATGCGAACATATTTAGAGTGATGAAGACGTAAAGATGAGTAGTGAGAATGATGAATAGTATAAAAAAGAGAAACAGGACTTAGACGATGATAAATTTTGAAAAACTGTAGAAGTCCAAAGTATTTACGACGAAGAGAGAGTTTAGGAAGAGAAAGTTGAGATACAAGTAGGGAACTAGAAGAACGATAGCCAAATTGCGAGAAATAATACGAGAAGCAAGTTTGTTTACAGAATCAAGAACAGTAAGAGAAAACGAACTGTCATACAAGGCACAGCAACAGTCAATTTCTAGGAAGAATAGAAGAAAAATAGATTCGACGCCGAACTTCAGTTGAAGCTAATCCAAAGACACGATTCAATGCTCCAAGCTTGCGCCCACAAGCAAGAGCAATGTCCTTGACATGATCATTCCACCTAAGATCTTGCGAAACAAGAACACCAAGAGAACGAACAGAAGACACAACAGAGAGAGGAACACCATTGAGATACAATTGATTATAAATATACGGAAAGAGATGGAAAGAAAAAGGAAGCCAACAACATTTAGAAACGTTTAGAGACATGAGATTGGAAGAAGACCAATGAGAAACAGAGTTTATACAGTTTTGAACATGAGAAAAATTAGAAGAATCAGTAGGGGAAAGAGGAACAATCAAAAAAATATCATTAACAAAGAGATAGATTTCACAATTAGGGGGGAGGGACAACAGAGTTTTCGATTAGGGGGGGAAATCCCCCCCTCGTTTGAAATTCGGATTAAGTAGTCTCCGAGTAAGTGATTTTGGAATAGGTGGAACTCGGAGTAAGCAATATTGAAGTAGATCAAAGGTCCAGAGTAAGTAGCACGGATTAAGTAATGTCCTGATAAAGTAAGCTAAAAGTATGTTAATAATGAGATAATGAACATGAATTTTGTCGTAATTAATAGCTTTAAAAGCCGTTTATGAAACGTGTTTATTATAGCTATGATATAAAAAAATCGAAAATACCTGTATTTAAGCTTCAATGGGCGTAAATCAAACTGGAAGTAAGTTCAGTGGGAGTAAGTCAAATTTTCATATTTCATACTTTGGAGTAAGTCCCTGAACTTCCCCCTCCTCAAAAAATTTGTAACGAAAACCCTGAGCGACAGAGGTAGATCATTAATAAAAATAAGAAATAAAAGAGGATCAAGCATACTGCCTTGAGGAACATCAGAAGGAACAGGAGAAGAGGAGACAGAATCATTCACACGCACACACTGAGAACGATTCGAAAGATAAGAAGATAGAAGAGACAAAGAATCACGCACACCACAACGAGATAATTTTTCTAACAAGTGAGAATGAGGAAGAGAGTCAAATGCTTTAGAAAAATCAAAAGACACACCAACACACTTTACACCGGCATTCCAAATTTAAAGGCGGTTGAAGATAAAACAATAAAGCATCCAGAGTAGAATGTTTAGGACGAAAATCGCACTGTTTGTTTACAAAAAAAAGTGTTTCGAAAGATAAGAAAAAATAAGATTATAAGTTAGACGTTCAAACACTTTAGAAACAACAGGAAGAAGTGAAATAGAGCGATAGTTAGAAATATCGGCAAGAGCGCCTTTTTTATGAACAGGTACAACGAATGCAGTTTTCCATAAAGTTGGAAAATTGCTAGTAGAAAGACACAGATGAAAAATGAAGTGAAGGTGAGGTGAGAGAATGTCAGCACAAGAAGAGAGAAGGGAAGAAGGAATTCCATCAATACCAACAGTAGACTTAAACGCTCAACATCCCGTATGGAAAAGTCAAGGTGTTTATCCATCGTTGGCAAGTCTGGAGTGGTAGAAGGAGGAATTTGCCCCTGAAGAGAAGAATAACAAGAGGAAAAATGAGAATTGAAGAGTTCAGCTTTATCCGCATCTGTGGAAACAGATTTGGAGCCTAGAAACAGAGACTGAGGTACAGTGGAGTGAGAAGAGGATAGTTGCTTGATAGAGCTCCAAAACTTGCGAGGATCAGAAAATAAAGATGAGAGAGATCGGAAGTAAGAAGATTTTTCACGTCGATAGGGGGAAAGAACAAGATTTCTTGCTTTACGGAACTCAGCAAGGTTAAGAGAAGTATAACGGCGTTTAAGTTTACGAAAACGCTGGTTACGGATAGAGATAAGATGTGCAAGCTTTGGAGAAGGCGAGAGAACAGAAGATAGAGTACGAACTGGTACTAGTGGGACGAATCTACGGATGGCATCGTTTACGTGCTCAGTCCAAATGTGGACGGCCGTATCAGCATCGGTAGATGCTGAGAGTATCTATGAGAGCTCTATAAGAGTATCTATATAAGTAGCTATAAGAGAGAGAACACGCCGTAGTTCAGACCCCTGGGCTTTTTAAAGTCATAACGATAAGAAGTAGAAGAAAAAAGAGGTTGAACAGGTACATCAAAAGTAGCAGATAAACAAGAGGAGAACAACCAACAGAGGGAAAATAAGAGAAAGAAACATTGTTCCAGGAAGAAGGATAAAAGATATAATCAATACACGTATTTGAAGTAGTAGTGACAGAAAAATCAACAAGAGAACACAGAAAAGAACTAGAGAGACTTTGAATATTGTACATTTCGGAAGACACATGAAAGTTAAGATTAAGATCAGCACACAACAGGAGGTTAGAAGAAATACAGGATTAGTTAGAAACAAAAGTGTGAAGAACATCAAGAAAGAAATCAACAGGAACAGATTGTGAACGGTAACAATTACATAACAGAAAATCAACAGAAGGAGGCTGTACAAGAAATATAAAAGCTTCAATAACATCAGAAGAAGCGAGTAAAGAAAATTGTAAAGAAGAGGAGATATACGTTGCGAGATCTCCTCCGTGTCGATTTTGATCTCGGCGAACGAGAGAATAACCAGAGAGGGTCATCTCTCCATCAGTAATTGTCGCATCGAGATTCGTTTCTTGAAATGAAAGAATGTCAAAATCACTAAAAGAAAAGAAAGTTTTGTCTTTAATGAGACCAAAGTTCTTAATAAGACTTTGGATATTGTGAGAATAAATATTGAGTTTGTGGGCTAGTGAAGTGTCGTTTTGTTTGGCTTGAGTCACATTACATCAAAAACGATTAGACAAGCGATGGTAGCGTTTTTGTTGTGTATTGCGGATATTTTTACTGGTATTGGCATCATTATTGGTATTAGCATTAATATTGGTATTGATATTATTATTGACATTGGAATTATTATTATTATTATTATTGTTGTTAATATTGTTATTGATACGGTTTTTATTCTTGATATTACCGTTTTGACTCGGCCGATTACTGTCCTTGTCAACAACAGATGATGAGGTAGTAGATTACTGTGGTTGTTGTTGTGACTTATTCCGTCGCTGACGAGCTTCAAAGGCTTGCAGAGATTGTTGTTTTGTCAAATACTTACCGATGTAAACAATTTGACAGAAACGTCAGACGAGCTTTTTATCATAGGTGCCTTTGCCAAGATCGACGAACGAACAGACAAGTCGTTAAAGGAGATACCGAGAAGTGGCGGACGATCATTATTTGTTGCTGACGAGGTTTTAAATCGCCACACCGAGTCAATGGAAGACGGATCAATGTTGATACCAAGGTGATCATGAACGAAACGGAAGAGAACTACCTTATCATTTGTGCCCTCAACGGGGGACAAATTCTTGACGATGATGTTTTTCCGTCGCTTCTCTCGTTCCAAGTTTTCGTTCAACACATCAAGGCGGTCAACAAGTTGATCATGTTTATTGTTAATGGTTGTTAGGTGATGTTCCATCTTGTCGATTCGATCAGATAACGTCTGAAGACAAAGAGGCGGAACACGATCAACGGTTTTATCACTCAAGCACTTAGGACAAAACCAGTTAGAAAACTGTTGTTGTTCGGCTAGAGTTTGATACGCCGTATATGCCATTGGTGAAACGTTAACACATACGATGTGGAACCAAGTGTCGCATGCATCACATTGAAGTGCATTATCATTATCGCTGACAATAACCTGGCAAGAGCAGAGAGCCTGTAGTTGTGGTTCATGGTGGTATTATTAATACGCCATGCACACAAAAACGTGAGAGATTACGAGAAACTTATTTGATACTCGTTAGAGTGTTCTATTTAGTGTTTTCTTAATGTATTCAATGACACACACTGATACTATGAATTCTATAGAAATCACCAAAATTTCAGAAAGGGAGCGGCTAGCGCATCGAAAAGAAAAACCAGCAAGTTTGTACAACAGAACCTGCATAAAAGCGTGAAAGTAGTAGCACCATAATATAAATAGCAACATTTACGAGTTTAGTTCTCTTAGCATTAAATGACAATAGACGTGTTTGCTTTGGGTCTATTTTTCTCCTTGTTTGTTTGTGTATGTATGAATACTTCAGAGTATTGTAGGATTTTACTTTTTCATTAGTGTATAATAAACCAGAAGAAAAATATCACGAAAGATGTCGCATCCTTGTGCCTCTTTTGTTGTCTGTCATAGAGGTATAACGTTTCTAACGTAACACTCTGCCCTAGCTGTTTTCTATACTTTTTTTTTCCTTAGTGAAAGCGGTGCAAAAAAATAATTCAGACTGGGGCCTGTTTCTCAAAACAACTTAAGTTTCACTTAAGTGAACAGAAAATTATACTTAACCCTTTGGTGCCGGGACACGCATATATGTGTGTTGAAGTTTCTTATCATTACTTCTATA